TTATATCACAAAATACATAATAATAATACACATTTATACAATGTTATTTGATTTTATAGTTTTGAATTTACCGCCATAAAAATATGGGCCAATCAGATCCACTGTACTCACAACTCTAATAGGTTTGGAAATCATGCCTCCCGGTGGCCGTCGACTGGCATAGATAATGGCGTCAGATCTCGGTACTATAGTATGATGTCTCAAATCTACCTCCATAGCCCGATGGACGCCATAACGAAATAAAAAATATTCGGCGGCACCGGCACGGCGCTGTCGGCGCATTGCGCATGCAACAGCGTGTGGGATACTTCGATGTTCGATGTCCCGACTACCGACATTGGTAAAATCGTAATTCTTATTGCACTGTTGTTATATTGCGTATGGCTTAGTCAAAGTGAGACTAAATAGAATTTTGAATTTCAATTACTCACATGGAATACATACGTTCGTCATTCAGGCAATCAGATTTCGATTGGTCAAGCTGCTCCTCAAACTTCTAAGTCCAGAGTAAGTAAGTAGAATTTTCGTTTTATCTATTTGTTTTTATTGTTTTTCATTACTTCAAATTTCATTACAGAGAGATTTCAGGAGTAGTTACATTACTTCTTAGTTCTAACATTGTCGTCATTGTGCACACATTCCGTCAAGGGTCATCCATATCATTGTTTCAGATCTGTTGATAATCTATCCATCATTTACCATCATGTCTGATGATATGTCAAAAAACTACTATGAAGATGACCAAGTACCTAGTACCTCGGTAAATATTTAGTGATAACCTTATACAAATATTAAAAAATATAATATTAATACTTATTGTTTTCTTATAGGGTATCACCACAAATCGCAGCAACACGCCTGACATAATTAGTTCTGCCAACAGCCTAGGTAAATATTTAACACAATTTCATGTAAATATAATATTATATTCATTAATGTTAAGTGTAGGATTTGAACTTAACAGCACTAAAAAAATCAAAAAATCAAACAATTACGTGTTATATACATGTATAAGGTTAAGAGGACATTACGTCCTCATATATAAACTAATGTATCTTCAATTATTAAGGTTGGATATTTGGTTTCCAAAAGTTGTAAGGTATTTGATCCCCTGATATTTTATATTCATTTATTATATTCATCCAAATATATTAGTTTTAATCATTCAAATTTAATCAATTTAGGTAAACTATAAAAATATACCTTATACGCACACGTAATTATTTGTATTTTGAGATTTCAATCTCAATGTCAAATACTATCTTTAAATTATTTACATTTTAAATCACTTATTATACTTATAAAATACTACTAAATTACTACCCATCATTTATAATATTTGTATTGTACTGTATTGTATTTCTATAATTACAAATGTATTATATTTTGTTATAATTTAGCTACATTTTTTAAATTTGACGACGATCAATGAGAATTATATTTTAATGAATTTAAATAGTTAAAAMAAAATCAATTTAAATTTAAAAGATGTTCTAAAATACTGGTTTACCAAGCATAGTTTTATTTAATGCGCATTCCCCTCTTGCAGGATCACTTTTCTGAATGATTCATCTCTCTTAGAGGCAATCTCCAATCGCCAGCACGATCCTCAGATATAGCCCCTGTTGGTTAATGAYATATTTTTCTTAAAAAAATATTTCAGAATTATATGTTTAATTATGTAAATGTTTTATAGACTACAGCATATAGTTCAGAAGGAAAAAGTTGAGGAAAAATTGGCTTAGTAATAATGTAATATAATAGATGAATATTTTGGTATTGGAGTGAATCTTTGATCCACCATTTTTGATTCTAAGCTAGCAATGTTTTTTTTTGTGTTGTGAAACACTTTAGTGCTCAATGAAATGCTCTGATCATCAACTTTTTTGAGGTTTCTTTCTAGTAGCAAATTACAGTACATACCCAATCTTATTTCTTTCCTAATTGTTGCTTCTTCCTGGACATTTATACATAGTACTACTCCTATTTCTTATTCGTATAAACATTTATCCTTCTATCATTATATGTAACCCCAACCCTTATTATTTCTATTTCAAACTGTCAAAAGTTTTATTCAAAAAAGCTATGATGGTTGTTTTTGTCTACTCTGCTTTTCAATAACCTGTCTTAGTCCCTAGAGCTTTTCTCCAGCCCTGTTCAATTATCTTTAACGCAATATGACTAATATGAGTAAAGTTTTGTATGCATTATTAAACTTAGCATTCTATCTTCATGTGTTTTTTCCATTTTCTTTGAAATTGGTATAATTATGCACTTTGTAATATCTCCTGGTACTCGTCTAGTTTTATAGCTTTTTTAGATCAGTACATAAATT